AAAGAAAAAATTTCTAAAGAGAAGCTGACAGTTTCACACATAAGAAATTACCTTGTAAAGCCTTTAGTTAGAATTGTGTAATGTTGGATACCTTATGATCAGGGATAATAAACCACCAAATGTAGAAGGTGGTCATTGGATTTCTGTTGCATGTAGGCCAAATATGCTAACGATAAAGTAAATTCCTCTTGGTGACAATTATTGGTAAATATACCTCTAATAGCAAAGTATCCTATAGACATTACCAGTAGCTGGTTCTCTTCTCCTAATAGGCACTCGTACTATTGATTTTAGGTGGGACTATGCAACTTGCTTTGCCTCACCTAATATGAGTACCCTGTGTAACTTCTCATTGGATGTGTACAATTTTCATGCTCTCTGTCCCAGACTCTTTGACCAAGGTAGCATATTTCACATGAAGTAACCACAGGATGATGGTGTCTCCATTAGCTCAGATCACTAAGGAAGCTGTCTAGAAAATAGTTGTCTGAAGAGTTGCCAGACCCACAGTAAACTGCATTATAAAGGAATAACTGTTGACACGGGCTTTGGGATTATCCATTACTGCAGTATAATTTAGCCAAATCTAACTAATAATATATTTAACTTAATTTTCATTGTATGAGCCAAAGCAGATACTATTTTTTTTTCCATATTAAATACAAGGTTACTGAAACACAGCAAAACTATGTTGCATTCTAAGGCCATCCAACTTTAAGTATCAAGACTTGGAAGTGAATTTCCCTTATAAATAAAATATAAGACATATATAAGCAATTAAATTAATAACGCTTCATTTCATTAGAGCCCAATATAACTCTTATTTAACACTACATTAAAACATTTGTAAAATGAATTCTCCATTGTAATACTTACTTGGAACTATAAATTCTATTTCTTCTGACATAGCAACTCCTAGTTTATTAGAAGCAAAGCAGCGGTATTTCCCTTGAAAATGAGATATGTGCCCTTCATTTGGGATCTTGAATGTTCCTGAATTGTTAAATACAGTTATCCGAGGGTCAGAGAGATCAAAAGGCTTGTCATCCTTAGTCCATGTAAATCTATAAGATAAAACTAAGTTTAATAATCATGAAAAAATCATAATCATTTCTTAATTTTAAAGCATTTATAAACTGATGCACAAAAGTGATAAAACCAAGATTTATGGCAAAAAACATATACATA